TTTTCTTATATTTAGAACAGCGATGTATATTTGGAGGCACAGATTGAAAATACTTCCGCTACTGCTATGGTACTGGAAAGAGTGGATCTGGAACCAAGCCCAAATTACACCGTGGCCAGCATAAAAGCAGGGTACGGTTTTGCACTCTTCACCTAATTTCATCGCTTATAATCTGTGGGATGGAATTGCTATTTTATTGCTTTATTACAGTGACGAAGATGAACCCGGTGGGATGTATCTTAAACCGAGAGATATTCGGCAGTTCTTATTTTGCCTTTCGCCAAAGGATATTCATGCTACGGTGTTAGTCATTCTTGCATTATCAAACTGTCAGTTTGTCTGTCATCCGCGATTTGATTAATCCCAATATTTGTCACCATTGCGAAGGTGAGCAGTATAATCTTTTCCATATGCAGCGATTTTCCGGGCTAACTTCGCAGAGTTTGCGAGCTTAAGATGCCCAATCAAATTGCAGAATGAGTTTTTGTCTTATGAGATTGCCAATTTTAAAGCTACATCATATGTAAAAACAGTTGATGCGCAAAATTTCAGCAAAATTCTGCAAAAAATTGAGAATGAACATAAAAAGCATACCAACACATTGTCAAAAGAATCTCAGAAATATTCTCAGAAAAACGCACCAATGTACAACCTAGCAGTATGCGATTGAGATTTCGTTTATTTCCTTTACAGGTACAAAGATATGACAAATATTGGTAAACTGGATATGTCGTGGCGCACACATATGGGGGAACGTGGGCGGCTACAGACTAGTCCTTTGCAAAGAATTGTAAGTTTTCTACTCTTTCATTCAAGCATTTGGATGACCTCCATGTTGACATTCTCAGGCTCCTACCCACGGTGATGTACGATTGACCGTGGAAAACCTACCAGCTACAGTCCCTGTTCGGAAACCATTCACGGTTGATTGTAGGCTTTATAATTGTTGGTGGGTTTTTCTGCATCATTTTCAAATTTCTTTGAGAACGATGCCTGCTTTGCAGTGAAAGATCGTTGGATCTACGGTTGGAGCTACAAAATGTATCACAGTCACTTATTCTGTGTTCAATCAGTGGCATCTCATTAGGACAGCTCCCACCTAATGGCAACGTAGCGTTCAGTGTAGAGATGATACCTATTGCTATAGGCTTTCAGGTACTGATTTCGCTTGTTATGAGGTGGTATCATATGAGTCAACCTCTTTCCCTTTCAGTCGATATCCGGAATACGGATAGTGGATTCGTTTGCAAAAAAGATCTATGACCATGATGATATTGCGCAAGTATTTGTGATGTGAATGGGTATCTGTTTAGATGTTAATTTTCTAATGTTCTGTGATTTTTGCTGGATTTGTTCGCAACATTTTTTCTTGCAAATTCTAGAACAGATTAGAGAACGAGAAAGATGTAAGCTTGCTATGTCTTTTCCTCTATTTCATCTCATAAGCACTCATAGAGCCCAAAATTCGCAGCTGAGTTGTCAGAAAGCTCAAGCTTTGAGTTGCGTTGCAAATGCGAAGGGATATAGAAGTTTTCAAGGGCTGCCGATGCATTTGCGCTGAAGAAATTGTCAAAGGGCGTTAAACTAGAAAATGTGCGCTTTGCGGGTATTTTGCGCGCGCGAATTGTCGGCAGCACTATCATAATGACTTGTTAACGCCTAAATGTTGTGGGCAAACGTCGGCACCGCACGGATACTATTTTGGCGTCAGATCCATTAGCCTGTGCCCATAAGATCTCGGGCAGCGCGCGCATGCATCTTTCTCGTTCCTTTT